TGCATATTATACATTTTGCTGCTCCTGAAAAATACTGACTCATTAGTCAGTTATTGTTCAAGATGTTTTAGCCTAATGGTGTTCTGCCAATGTTTGAGAGTGGTGCACACCAGCTGCATTACTGGTTTTACATATTATATATGTTTTTGCAAATATTTAATGATTTTGCTCTAAGAAAATCGTTGGATTCTTTTAAAAAGACATGCAGCTCATTGCCTTCTTGTAATTAACCTTTAGTATCTATCTTTTTCATATTATTGGAGATGTGCAGATAGTTTAATATGAATCCAATATTGGCAGCTGATACATTGTGCATCTCTAATCCACACATTTATTAATGTTTAGCATCGTCAAAAGCGTAACACACAGCAAAAGTGACAGGTAGTTGAAAAATGTTCAGAAAAGTCAAACTGAAAGTTTCTCTGGTATTTAACTTGCTGGGTTTGATCCAGATTGATCCAATAACAACATCAGCAAGTAGAAGATTCAAACAGCTGTCTACAATCTTACTGCAAACTCACTGAAAAGTCATGCAAATCTGTTGTGTATGATTCTACATAACCTGTTCCATGTAACACCTGTGGCAACAGCACCTAATGACTAACATAGGTGAATAATGTGGGGAAAAAAAGATGAAATCAATATAGCAACTAGTTTGTTACACCATTGAGTGTTTTTGTAGATGATATTTGAACAGCTTTCCAGTCTCACTTGGTGAGTCAAATAAACAAACATTATAAGGACAGATATAATAGATGATTCATCAATAGAAAAACTAAGCATGAAAGCAGCTAATTCAAAGACATAATGAAATGTATATCTTCAGATTTTTTTAGTTTTCATTATGTTTTTTTGTACTTTATTGTTAGAAAATGTCACTCAGCCCAAACAGTTTTTACTGTATGACTCGGTAGATCACAGAGTTTCAAAAAGAAAACTAAAGCATTTAACAGATTTATCAAAATGTTTATTTTTGCATAAACATGAACGTTCTTTGGCGGCATTTCATTTGATTTTGTAGAGAGTAAATTATTACATAACGCTGTAAGACCAGAAAACTCCTTAGCATTTAAACACTTTACAAAAGGTTACGACTCAAGTATGCAAATGAGAATAAATAAACAAAAACAAATGCCTTAGAGAGACAAGAGACAACACGATGACATTGTTTCTGTAGTGCAGTAATATTATACATTAGTGACCTGTGTAACAGTGCAAACAAGTGATATATTTGTTAGATATTATACACACACATTCAAGAGTTTGCAGATATTTTCAGATAAAGTTGAATCAGTATTTGTTATGAAAACCCAAAAAAAGTCTCTGGAAATTAGAATACTGTATGTGGCTCCCATTTCATTGTTCTCCCAAAGAAACAAACTCTGTCATCAGTCTAAAAGTCAATATATGAATATAAAAAGTCAAAACAATGGAAGTCAATGGGCACTGGAATTATAATTACCAAAATATAGATCCCCCCCCCCCCTTTGTCCAGAAGTAAATTGCATACAGGATTAGACTGACAGGAGGACGAGTAAATGATGACATGATTTATATTTCTGGGAGAACTATACCTTTAGGCTGGTTTATTAAAGCACGATTCACACAAATATGACCAGACAAAATGATTATTATAAAGGATTCAATATAATAAAGGGTTTAAGTGCAACACATGTTGGTTTTGGAAACACTAAGAAAATGCAATGAAACGTGCATGTGAGATTTGTGGAATTTTAGAAGACATAACAATATACAGTTTTACATTAAAACAATATGACAATTTACAATTATAGATATACAGGCAACACATTTTTTATCAACATGTTAAACAGACATGAACAGATACTAAGGGTAAATTTAGTTTGATGACTACTAGACATAAACACTATAGACATTCAAGCCTGTGATTTTCCCCTCAGAACCATTATAATGTACTGTATATCCCCTTCATTTGTGGAAAGCTCTTCACTTGCACATACAGTATCTGTCAATTGTAAGATATTTGAATACCAAACCAGTCTGCAAAATTAAAAACTGCTTTACAAAACAAAAAACAAAACAAAACTATTTTAATGTTTAATTTGTGGCATTTGGATAAAAATGTTGTTAACTGTAAATGTTGGTAAGATTCTGATTTATAGCATTTTATCTTAATTAAAGACGTATTGATAAATATAGTACATTCATGAAAATTATGATTTGATTTAAAATAATTTTCCATTTTATTAATCTAGCTTTTCTAAAATGTAAATAAAAATGTAACATATTTATGTGATTTAAGTTGAATTTTAGCAGCCATTATTGAATCTCCAGTGTCACCTGACCTTTCATTTTCCTTTTACACTTTAATTCCTAAAGTTGGAATTATGTATAAAATTTAAGGGACATTTCAGAAAGAAAATAGTTTTAGAGTAAATTGTAACACAATTTTGTTCTTCAACAACAACCTCAAAGCCAAAAGACACAAGCTGCATCCCAGATGGCACACTATACACTATACTCTTATCCGTGTACCTATGCACTTACACACTTAACAGCATAGTATGTGAATGTAGTGACATCCCAAGAGGAACACTAAAAGTTTTCACTAAGAGGAAATTCAAACCATTTCCCAGATGACGGATGACAGATGCCAAATTAGCAAAATTATTGACCAAAACTACCAAATACCTGCTGCATTAGTATAATCCCATTCACCATCAGAAGGTGGTATAATCCCTCTTGTAGGAGAATACTGCTTTTACAATCTAAAATAAATAAAGTAATCCAACACCAGTGCCCGAAAACTACGCCCCTTAGACTACGTGAGCAAAGCATCGTCTGTTGAGTGCACAGTGTCCGACATTCCACACTTCATTTTAACGGTTGGATGAGTATTTAAAGTGCACTTATTCTTTTAGGGTTTTTTTTTTTTTTTTTTTTGTGTGTATGTGAATACACTACTTACACTATTTATACTACAAAATGGCATAGAACAGTGCATAAGTATGCGATTTGGGATGCACCTATAGACTACAAGCTTTTAAGTGCTTGTCTAGTTTGAGCACTAAGGGTACGTTTACACAACACCATTTTCAACTAAAAACTAAAGAGGTTTTATACATTTAGCCTGTTCCTTAATTTCATAACTTTAGCAGACGTGTTTTAAAGTGCGCAATTTTTAAGGTGATTTCCATGATTGTAAACTATAAAATCATGTAAACAGTGACCTCATGCACATGCATATTACACATTCAGTCTATTGACCTTATTCTCCGCAGACGAGCGGCCGCTGCCATTTGAATCTTTTTGGCATGAGACTTCCGGTCTCATTCACTTCCATTCATTTTTAGACATTAAAAACTGCTCGTTTCGCTGTTTGATGTTGCAACCTGATATTTCCTTGTTATATTACTCTACTTGGTCTGTATAGTCATGCAAACATTTGTTTGTACAGCAAGTAGTTTGAATAAACGTTTTTTGCCGTTTATTGTTCCTTGTCATTTCTCCCATAGGCGACTGAAACGGAAGTTCTAAGACAATCGCAAAAACAGACGCACTTCCTTATTTTAGAATAAGGTCAATAGACATGGATGAGTACTTGACAACTAAAACAATAATGGTAGACTGCTTGTATAGTTTTATTTACAAAGTGACATCAACAACTACAGTCCTGGAATGCATAAACCGGCATTTTGTTTTGTATTTAACCTTTTCAAAAAAGCAAAAGAAAATGTAATTTTGTTGTGTAAATATACCCTAATGTATCTTATAGCCTGATGTTAAAAAGACGTCTACACAGTAGGCACTGTGATGTCAAAAAACATACAAAAAATGCTAATTGTTTTGATGTCAGTTAACTACCTTGACATCTAACACTGGCATTAAAATGTGTCAAAAAATTTAATATACAAGACATTCCTGTAATCGATTTCCGATTTATTTTTTTATTTTTTCTAGATGTTGATCAAGCATTGAAGAGAAACGAAATCCAGTGTAAATTTAATATTTGTGATGAAGCTTTCAGTTGAATAAAAGTTATATTATTTTACTATTCTGGACTATTGTTGGGCATCTACTGGCCCGTTTTCACTGAGTTGTATGGTATGGTACAATTTTATGGCTGTTTCCACTGTCAAAAGGTACCAGAAAGCGAAACAATTTTTGAGTACCCTTTCTAAAGGCTACCTTACACGACAAAAGGGTACCAAAAGACCGAGCTAGACACACAGTTGAACGCTAATGGTTTACAGGGATACGTTACTAGCTCCTGCACAAGCTGGGAGAATGAAAACAAAGGAATTGCTATTTTTAAATACACAGCTTTTCCCAGTGATGGGATGAGGCTTGAAGGGCATCCACTGCGTAAAACATGTGCTGGATAAGTTGGAAGTTAATTTCGCTATGGCGACTGCTGATTAATAAAGGGGCTAAGCCAATAAAAAAAAAAGAATGAATAAATAAAATACAGTTGAGACATTTAATCATAATGCTATATACATATAATAACAAACCATGGTCGACCTGAGCTCAAACAAACCTTGTTGTCATCTTGATGTACAGCCACAAAGCCAAGAACAAAATCTGCAGTGTCCTTTTGTTGGTTTAATAGGCCGTCTAAAGCACGAGCGGATTCACTTTATTCAGCGAGCCCACGTGCAGTGACGTCTACATGCACATGTCTATATTTGAAATAACAAACTTCTTGAGCTAATGATAATAACGTGTTTGTTTCAGAAATGAACAAACGTGAGAGTGAAGCGTGAAAAAACAAAGGAGAAAAAGATTTTTTCAGCAACCTAAAACATGAAAACAAACAAACTGCCCTGTATATCTATTATTATCACTTTTTGGACTATTATGAACTCGGAATGATGAAATTACTTTTTAACAAGTAGTTACATGTGCTGGTGAAGATCAAAGATACAGATGAGAGGTTTGCACTGACTGTGAGCTATATGTTGCATGTTGTTTTAGAACCTAAATAAGGACTAAACGTATGCTGTGTGTAGTTTTTTTTCTGTAATTGGTAACATATCAGAGACTGTAAGGTCTGTATGCGCTATATGTGTTGTATTTATTTGTTTTATATAACCGCAGACGTTGCAGAAGGCTATTTTGCACGATTATTGATCTGCAGTTATAATCAAATCATGTTTAACAAGTATTTATGTGTATAAAGCATCTGTTCTGTGAGAAGTGCTTCTCATATGATATGTGAACGACCCATACAGCTTTACTGTAGACATTTCCTTGAGTGAGAATGATGTTGACTGAAATTTAGTACCATTTGCCTGATAAGGGTGACCCATGCCGACTGTACCGCTCAGTGAAAATGGGCCATACTAGATTTTCACTGACAGCTGAAATATAGCCTTATCTTAATCAACATATCTATGTTTGAATGTCTATTAATTGTCTTTTAAACACAAAATTGCTTGGTGGGATAGTTCTCCAAGACAAATCCAATTCTGACTTCTAAAATTAAGCTTACCATACAATCATCACTGACTATTGTTAACAGTAAATACCGAGTCATCAACAGACATATCACTCACTGTCACCTCGAAAGTATAAAGCCAGGTTTATTTTCAGTACCTCGACATACGTGACCGCATGATTAATTCTGGCATGGAACCTGTTCCTACTTTGGGTTGGAGTGAGTTTTATTCACACACTCCCTCCCTTTTTGAGAAACAGCTGTCGGAAAAACAGGAAGCCAATGTGTGCAATCAAAATGCAGATGTCCTCCACAGAGGTTCAAGCAATACTGAGGGAATAGGAGCTCCACTATGGAGCGTGCAATTCAGGAGGAGCCACACACGACTACTAATGTCTTGACCCTCCTTTGTCATTTACACTTCAAGAGCTGCTCTCTCATCATCTGCTGGACGATAAGGAGAAGAACAGAAAGATGAGAAAGAGAGGGTCAGTCGGTTGCTTCAAACGCAGGTTCCCTGGTGCACCGCATGCTGCTGTTTGCGGCTCTTTAGACTCAAGGCCTTGTCTTTGAAGTCGCCGGGCCTCTGCTGAGACGCATCAATGAGAGCGCTGGCGATGGTAATGCCTGCGGGGAGAAGGAGGAGACCACAGAAAAGGAAGGAAGTGAGCATCAAAGAGAAGGAGGGCAGCAGGTGAGGAGAAGGGCATGAGTGCAAATGGACTAGCAACAAACAAACCTCATCCACAATCAAACAGGCAAGTGTTGGTCAATATCACAGCAGCTCACAATCAGGAATTGTTTGTGTTATTTCATATGTTGCAGACATGCTGTGGTAGCATTATATGTAAACACAGAAATAATAAGTAAATAAATGTGTAGGTAAATAATATATGAGTAAGCGAGCAAACAAATAAACAAACAAACAAAAAGAAAGAAGGAATGTGCAAAATACTTATCTTTAACTTTTTCACAACAATGAAGCTTCCAATCCACTAAAGCCTGATTGTTAGAGTAATTTCTTGCAATTTCCTTTTCAAAATATCAAAGTTCAAATGCTTCTTCTTGACCCAATATTTAAATGAACTGGATTTATTTACAGCACACCCTGTACATGACAAAAGGACACCATCTTCAGAGGAACAAAATGTTTTCTTCTGAGGAGAGATGTCCATTTCCAGGGAATTAATTGTGAGGGGGAATCAAATCAGGTGCGCATGAGAAGAAGGCTAAAGTGCTCTCGGCTAATGGAAAATCAAACTCATTATTGTGATCTTTGGCAGGTGAGCCGCGTGCGCGATTAACCCTGATGAAGTCTGCACTTTCAGACGGGATGTGAGAATCCGAGAACTCCATTAAAGGTAATCACAAAGACTCTGTTGACCTGAGACATGCATCACTGTAAATGAACACTTCACAGCTCCTGCGCTATTGGAATCGGACGCTGTCTTGTCCGCATGAAACTTAAATTCTTTCCACCGTAGCCCATGTTGGCCGCAAGCAACGCATGAGACGGGTTCCACAGATAATCGTAAGAATGTCTCAGCGGGAGTCGAGCAAGCAGCTGTCTAAAGTGAGTCCTCTTCACACCACCTGCCTCTTCACAAAGTGTCATTACGCCACACCAAGGTCACTCTTCCAGCTGATGAGTGTTTTCCGCAAGCAATCAGCCACACTCCAGCCTCAGTGTGACGCCAAGGTTATTCTGAGAGGGAATTCACTCTCAACCTGACTTTCCTTTTCCTTGAGTCATAATGACTTGACAAGCTATTGTCAGGACAAGAGGTTTGCTGCACCACCGTCAACAACATCATTTAACCTTAATGTTACACGTGTGAGTAAGAATGGATTAATGAACTCAGTTGCCATTTATTGCTTAAGATAAGCTGGACATTCAGGTTAAGCAGCGCAACAATGCATGCCACTGTCACTAACACATTTATTGAGAGCTTCTATGTATATTCGGCCACATGAACGTTTCTCTAAAAAACCTTTCAATGCAAAGTTACATTCAAGGTTAACTAGGTTACACTGACTTAAAATGCAGTGTACAGTGTATAAAATAAATACAGAATTCATATATATTCATAATTATAACAAAACTACATGTTTTAGTAAAACAGACAAGGAATGTCTTTTCTTTCTGTGTTTTTGTCAACATGACTGGCAAACATGTCAGAAAAAACAAACAAACTTCAGAATCTCCGAAACAGTTTTAAATGGACCATTTTGAAAACAAAGGTTCTCTGGTTTAGTAATCCAAATAGAATGAATACATTGCAGAATTCTCAGAAGTGAGCTCATTGTTTAATGCTGCTTAATTCAAAAGATGACACGTGTTATACACAAGTCAATGAAGTGTGTGCATAATTGCAAACAAATATGTAAAGTCAACTTAACAGTTACAACTTACAATGGGCTTACTTCATTCAGGTAACACTGTAAAAATGCTTTGTACAACGTAAGCATGACCACATCAATGCTTGTATTATTACAAACAAAATACACAGACATGTAGTATATATTACAAAAAGTCATGCTGTATCATACAAACTGTTTTACTCTATATTAAAGGTCCCATTAAATTAAATTACTTTAATGTTAGTATCAGTGTTGTTAGTTTTTTATGATATCTATGAGCTAGTGTGCAGCAAAACAGTGGCAACATTTGTATTTAGAATATATAAAATAGTTATAAACATTTAAAGCTTGTAGTTTGTCACTTCTGCATAAATGGATCAATTTTTCTTTCATGTCACTTTATATTCAGTTTCTCAACAAATCTTGGCCAATCAAATGCTCTCTAGTATCTGACATAGCCCGCCCCCTTCAACATGCTTTGCATTTGATGTGCTTTATCTCAACCATGCTCACGGGCAAAGCTGTGATAAAACATAATGCTATTGGCAGTTTTTTTAAAAAGGGGATGGGGGCTACACTATGTCCCACAATCTCCATGTTTGGGTTGAGATTACGTAAAAAATCTAATAAAAATCCACATTTCAAAGCACTACACAGGACCTTGCACATGAACTGTACATTTCACCAGTGCCAGCTCTTGATTGGGCTTCTTGCAGTGCATTTTGTTCAGTTTAGAAGAGAGGTGTCCAGTCTTACTCCTGGAGGGCCATTGTCTGGCACATTTTAGCATCTACCATGATTAAACACACCTGGACCAGCTAATTAAGGTCTCACTAGACTTACTAGTAACTTCCAGACAAGTGTGTTGAGGGAAGCTAGAGCTAAATTCTACAGAACAGTGGCATTTTGGACACCACTGGTTTGGAACATGCTGTTAAATGAGGGAATTTATAGAAACATGTTCAGCAGGGACAGGACATCAAAAATTGTGACTGTCTCTGGAAAACAGGGGAATCTAGTCACCCTAGTTTATCATATAACACAAGCCTGACAGCACAGGTGACAGCGGCAAACAGTGCTTTCACATCAGTGTTTGCATGCTTGCACAACATCAGACTTTAAACTCTTTCTAAACACAACAAATGTAGAAACAAGTCTTGAAAAATGTGTGATTTTAATGTTACTTATGTAATTAAAAGTTCTTTAAAATGACTTGTAACATGCACCATCATCATTAAAACCTTGATGCCTAATTTATTCCTGAAATTAATCGTCTTAGTTTTGATAGCATTATACCTAACATATTCATAATAAATGTGATGTGATATATATATATAAATATATATATATATATATATATATATATATATATATATATATATATATATATATATATATATATATATATATATATATATATATATATATATATATATATATTTATAGTATAATAATTTAGATTTCACTGAGCTACATCTGTTGTTTATTGTTTACTGTAACACATAACAGCACAAACAACTGTAACAGTATTTAAACTATATATAAACATAATTGCTGTATGCTAACAGAGTTTTGAAGTGAAGAAAAGACGAGATTAAAAAGTTTTATCTTATTTTTCTTTAGCTGAAATGACTGTGCTATATGTGGCATATTTCATAATTATATCCACTGCTCATTTCTATGATAAAGCTTGCATAAAGCTGATATCACTTTCCATATTAGCAGACCTTCAGATCTCGTCTTACAGTTTTCTGCTGACCAAAGAGGTTTTAAACCCTCTGCTATGAGGCTCACAGCAATTAATTGGATAGATCACTCAAAAATGACAATTTTGCCATTATTTATCCACCCTTATGCTATTTTAAGCTTTTTTTTTTCTGTGGGGGTTCACAAAAATTGTCTAAACTGTAGTCTTGTGTGTTATTCTATCATGTGAGATAGGGAAGAAAATGTGGAATAACAGATTTATTAACAAAATTACACACATACATATGGGGCCCTATCATACACCCGATGCAATGAGGTGCAAGGCATGATGCAAATGGTATTTGCTAGATTCAGCTCGATGCAAGCGTTGTTTTGACGTTTTTCCACCACGCTTTTTAAATAGTAAATGCATTTGCACTCATTTGTGTACCCATAGGCGTTCTGGTCTAAAGAAGGAGGTGTGTTAATGTGTGCATTGCTGGTAAGTTGCTATTTTGAGGAACTAAAATAGACTGCACAAAAGAGACTGCTGAGAGCAGGTCTAAAGTACAACGCAGAGCACATCAGTTGGGCGCCTCGCTTAAACATTGCTTATTACACACAGGATGTGGAGCAATACGCAAATATCTTTACAAATGAAAAAAAGATTTGAAGGAATAAAATATTACAAAAAATATTCCTCCATGTCTCCATCTCGGGGCTTTTTCAGTTTATTTATGAGAACTTGCTTTTGTATAATGTTATTATTAGTAGTTATATGGTTTAAAATATTCATATTTATATATATATATTTTTTGCCAACTATATTTATTAAAATAAAAAATAAAAAATAAAGATCCTCACCTGAGTAAATATCTTTTTTTTCAGTTTCATTCAGTTTCTAATGACACTATCACGTCTTTTTCAAGAAAACATCTGCTTTAGAACTTCAAATGTTCAACAACATTACAGTTTTATATGTCTTAACAATAAAAATGAAAAAAAAAAAAAAAAGATTTCAACTTAGGTGAGGTTCAAACACAGGTCTAAGATCATGGTAACCCAACGTGCTGACCACTGTTCCACAATGGCACTGCAAACCTGATATGGCCAGAATGATACTTATGATTACCCTGCAGGATACATGTTACTCATAGGGCTGCGAGACAATAAATAAGAAAAGCGGAGCTGCGGCAAAATAATGGATAAAAAGAGTGAGGATATGGTCAAATAAATAAATAAATAAATAAATAAATAAATAAATAAATAAGTGCGACTGCTGCTTTCTCCGTTCGCCATGCTGGAGAGGAACAGTCTGCACAAAAGAAGCGCAGAGTTGGTTTCATTGAATACAGCTCTCATCTGATTGGCTGAAAGGTACGAGTAGTCCTGACTCTAGCAGGAAAGTCTCAAAAATACACACACGTATTCAGGGGGAGTCGTACGTGAAAGAGGATTTGCACATTCTCATTCAGGATGAACTCACAAGTTTTAAACATTCAAAACTTGTTGTACACTCTTATACATTTGCAAATGGTGTTTTGCATTTGTGAAATGTATTTTATGAAAATGTATTTTTA